CCCGAAACGTCAGCTTTCCTGCTCCTCTGATGCTGCTTGGCCTGCTGTGTACATCCAGCTCTACACCTTGTCATCTCAGATTCTCCAGCATCTGCAGTTCCTACTATCTCTCTACAGCAGGGAAGAAGCTGTTCTTGACCTGTTGGTGCATGTGTTCAAGCTTCTGTATCTTGTGGGGGACAGAAGAGGTTGGAAGAGAGCATTACTCCACTAAACCTGGCAGCAGAGAACAATGCTCTTATTTTATAGACAGATTCCAGGCTGTGTACGCATATGGGAAGGGGAAACATACCCCAAAGCAACAGGAGAAGCAACTGCAGTACTGGAGATATCAAATAGGTTGGGGGAATAACAGATAAAGCATCGGAAACAATGGACACTCAAATCTCTTCGGTTTGTCAAATACATGATGCTGGAGTTCAAAAAACTGAGAAACTCCTGACAATTCTGGTGTGACAATCTCCAAGAGTGTTAACAGGATCAGTTGTGTAATGCTACACAAAACACAAATACGAGGCACTGTGACTTCTTGGGCTGTAAAGTGCTTTGTTGATATGCAGCAAAAAACACAGCAGAACCTCTCAGAGCAGTCACATGGATGCAAGACTCTAGACAACATATGTGTGTAAGGACAACAACTCCATAGAGACTCAATCACACAGACAGCCTGCTAGTGAGCACACCTCATGAAAGCTGGGAATTTATATGAGCAGCCAGAAAGTTAAACGGGGATTGACTTGACACAAATGAAAGGATATGAAGAGCAACGGCCTGGGAATCCTGAGATGGTCTCTGCTATTGTCAAGCCATACTTTACATGCACAGCCACTCAATCACTGGCAATGGATCTGTATCTGACAGCCCAGGAGAAACAGCTGCTCTGATCTTGATCATTGGTTCCTGCTTGGATTAGGTCCTTGAATTCCACTCTAATACGAAAGGACTTACCCCACACCAGCTCATAGTTATTTAACAGATGACATCCAATTGAATCAATTTTCTTATCCCTGCAATTTAGCTCCATACCAATGATGTGTTCTTCCTGCCAATATTGTAAAAGCTGCTGATTTTCACACAATACAGTCAGAATGAAAGTATCTATGCACAAAGAGTAAGGGCTTGTGGAGTGGGAGTGGGGGCAGGAGATGAAAGGATTAGGAATCTACTGTCTCATTTCTAAACTGTAAAGTACAATTTGTTATTAAAGATGATATGCTGAATCCTTCCAGTCCTGCAGAGATGAAAACTCTTACGTTTGGATGGAGCTGCTTTATATACATATCTCACAGCGATGCAGATCTGACTGCAGTTCCAAATATAAACATTTCATTTTCAGGGCTTTATCAGTTACAGAACTTTTACTTTTCATGCTGCATTTACAAGGAGCATGTTTTGGAGTCTTCTCTGTGTGCAGCTAGATATTTGAATTGCTGGCTCCACCCACAGACTTAAGCAATCCGGCACCGTTGCAAAGATCAGTGAACAGACTAACACAATCAAATATGGATGAATGACCATTAAACAGTACAGGACCAGGAACACAATTATAGATTCTCGTGTCAGGGTGACTCCTCAACATGTTCCCACTTCTGGACACTCTTCAAAGATTTAATGTTTCAGGGAGTTTGGTTGTAAGACAGGAGAGAATGACTGACAGAAGAACTGGTTCCAAGGCCAAATGGGAATCAGGCAAGAAAAGAAATTAAGAAATATATGATGTGCCTAGAGCTGCAAATGAAAAGAAGTAAATAAAATAAAACAAAACATAATGGGCCAAATGGTCTCCTACTGTGTTATAACATTTCTGTGATTCTTGAAATGGAGGAGGGATGACAGCCTGAAATCTCCCCTGTCTTGCGTTCAATCACAGGCCATCCTTTCATTCTTGTATCATTCCATCCTTCTTCAAAACCTGCTGAGCGCTTCAAACATTTTCTGTTTTTATTTCAGAGTTCAAGCATTTGCAGTATTCTATTTTTTGATTTTGGTCAATTCAAGCCAAAATAGTGGGTGAAGTGGGTAAATGCTTTTGGGATTTTCCTGATGCCAGATGGTCCCCATCAGCTCCCCACCCACCCACCTCATCTGAAGCTGTGGGAGTCAGAGGCTCACAGCTGTCACAGGAGGTCAGACTGTAGAGGACATTTCTGATTTGGTCTGACATTCATCCTCACTTTTCTTGTACAGCTGACTGAATGACCAAGAAGGCAAAATAAGGGACAATCGTTTAAACCATGGGAGAGTTGCTCACTCTAGCAGTGTCCCGGGATGTAGAGATTTCTTCCACTGTATTACAATATTACTATGTTACCCACGCACTCCCCTCCTCTTGCAACCTACACAAGACCTGAACAACATTCAAGTGACCAGTGTTAGGACTGGGATGGGAGCGCACTGCTATTTCCCTAATCCCACTACTCCAGGGTCACAACATAAATTTAATTGTTTGCTTCGGTCTCCAGTGGGGATAATTAAATGTGTTCATTGGAATGGACACAGAGTGAAAAGATGCATGACCTGGGATTTCCTTAATGGACATGAAATTACTGATATTTGGAAAGAAAACTGTTCAATGAAGATGCAGACTTGATTAACATAAACAATTCTGAACATGAAATTGAATTTCTATCTCTCCAGATAACCTAAACCACACACACACACACACAAAATACATATACTCTTCAGGAAAAGGTTTAAAAAAATCTCTGCAGATCATTCATTTAAAAAAAAACTTGTAGCTAGTGGTGATTATTTTTGAAGTTAAAAGGATAAGCTGCAGAATGTTACGAAGTTTTTTGATCTGTGAAGGCAAGTCATTAATCAGACACAGTTGTCTCTCGGGTATTTGCAGACATATCTTGCAGAGAAAATATAATTTGAGATGTTCTTTCAGTCACTCTTTTAGAAGAGCAATCAGGTTTCATCCTCATTACACAGCAAAGATATTTCAGAAACAGGAGAGCCAAATGAGACCTGCTGTGTTCATCCAGCTCTACACCTTGTTATCTCAGATTCTCCAGCGCTTGGCCTGCTGTGTTCATCCAGCTCTACACCTTGTTATCTCAGATTCTCCAGTATCTGCAGTTCCTACTATCTCTCTACAGCTGAATGGGAAGCTACTTTCTCTTCATCTGGCTGTGTTCCAACTAATTCCAAAACAAAAATCAAGTACTTTCCATGCCTAACCTATCCAAGCAGACCCCAGCACAGATGTCTAACGAAACAAGCAACCATCATAAGTAACATGATTTCCAAGAAACTATGTTAAATAAGGGTGTCAATGCCCACAG